ATTTTGTGCCTCACTTTTTACTTCCCAGGAAAATAGTCTTTCCTTTGGCTGCCTACTCAAAGCCTTTGCCCTCTTAGCCAGTCTCTCCTCTTTCCCTGTCACCACCCCATGTCACCCACACTACCATCCCCTGTTAATAACTGTCGTGTGTTTTTAACCTCGTGCTTTGAAATGGGACATGGAGAGAAGCATTTCTATGGCTTTCCCGTTGTGTCTTATTTCTGACGCATGGTGGGAGGAGTTCAAACTAGAAGTGATGGCGGTCAGGCTGGACCAGACTCTAGAGGAACCTGCTTGTGGTTTCTCTTGTGATGCTGACTTCCTTAGTGAACATCTCACCTTCATCACTATGACCTGAGAATGAAGAAGGTTTTAAAATGAACTATTTGAGTTGGAGAGTGCTCAGCAGTTAAAAATCTGCACTCTTCTTGCGGAGGACCTGAGTTCAGTTCCCAGCACCCACAGTGGTGACTTACAACTAGTTCCAAAGAAATCAGAAGCCCCAGGGCCTCCACGTGCACAAGTCAAAAAATATTTATTGCAGGCAAGTAAGAAAGAAATACAAGTATCTTGTTCTTAAAACAAAAGCCTTGCCAAGCATTGGTGTCACACACCTTTAATCCTAGTACTTGGGAGGCAGAGGCAGGCAGATTTCTGTGAGTTCGAGGCCAGCCTGGTCCACAGAATGAGTTCCAGGACAGCCAGGGTTACAGAGAGAAACCTTGCACGGGGGTGGGGGGATGGGTGGGGCTGGGAGCACTGCCTGTTCCTGGTGGCCGCTTTACTTGTTAACCCTCTCCGAAGGGCTCAGGGCCAGTGCCATGGAGTTTCCCAAGGCTGTGAAATTCAGAGTTAGGAAATTAATTTAGTGGTTTGGGAAAGAGGCCACAGCTTTTTGTGGAATCTACCCCTCCTCCAGAGTCGACCTTCGGAAGATGTAAAAGAGTAAATGAGGAAGGTGGAACCCACAACTTTCCAAGGCTACGGCCCTGGGGCCCAGGTCTTGGTTGTTTGACACCCTAGGCAGTCTAAGGTGAGAGTAAACACACTTTGGATGTGGTCCAAGTTCAGGGGGCTTCCTCACTTCCCCAAGTTGTTTGAGTCATACTAACATAACACCCAAATCTGTGTGCACTGTTTTCCTGTTATTTCATTTTTTGTTTGTATTTGTATTTTTTTTTTTATCTTGGTTTTTGAGACAGCCTGGCCTCATGCTCCTTTTGTAGCTGAACTTCTGGTCCTCTTGCCTCCCAAGTGCTGGGATACCATAGACATGCACAGCCACACCCAACTTTGACTTTACTTCTTGTCAAATAATTGAAATCAGTTGTTTAGTTTTCTCCATAGCCACAGACTAAGAGAAGGTCCCAGTTGAGGATCGAGAATGTGACTCAACTGGCAGAGAGCTTGCCTAGCGATGTACAAAGTCCTAATTTTGGTCCCAACACCACATAAACCAGGTGTGGTAATCCTATTACTCCACTCTGAAAGTGGAGGCTGGAGGTCAAGAGTTCAGGGACATCCTTGATTACACCTTGAGTGAGGTAGGCCAGTCTGGATTAGAGAGACCCTGTCTAAAGAAGGAAAAAGAGAAATCCTGGGGTTGGGGAGAGACCTCAGTGGTTCAGAGCACTAACCGCCAGGGAGGTGATGGTGCACACCTTTAATCCCAGTGCTCTGGAGGCAGAGGCAGGCGGATCTCTGTAAATTCAAGGCCAGCCTGGTCTACAGAGTGAGTGCCAGGACAGACAGGGCTACACACAAAGAAACACTGTCTCGAAACAAAGAAACAAGTGACACCAGTTCACTTCCCAGCACCCACATGGTGGCTCACAACCACCTGTAATTCCAGTTCTTCTTCTTCTGACACGGGCACATGGTACACAGACATACATGCAGGTAAAACAGCTGTACAATCAAATAAAATAAATAAATCTTAAAAAAAGAAAAGTCCTATCTAGATATATGCTAGAAGCATATATTGCAAAGGAAATTGAGTTTCCCATTTGGGAAAATAACAAAGTCAAGATGTTCTATAGCTCTCCAGGAAAATACTCTTTTAGGATATTGTTTGGTAAGTCCTGGTCACTTGCCCACTTATTGCCATTTTGGCTCCAGAGATGGTTCCTTGGTCATGCTAGGTCTTGGTTTCCCTAAGGCTTAGCTGGGGGGAAATGTTTCAAAGTGCAGAAGCAGAGAAGCTGGTCCCACACCCCCTCATCACCTGCTTTCAGTTGGTTAAATTGAGGAAGGGTGCACCTTCACAGGTCTGAACAGGACTCTCATCTTTTTAAGTTTAATTTTTACTTTATTATTTTATATGCATAGGTATTTTGCCTGCATGCATATCTGCACTTTTGTGCCTGCTGGCCAACG